AATCACATCTTTTAGTATGGTGAGAAGGAGAAAAAGTTCTCTTTGCCCACCTTCTACACACCAGGCATAGTTCTATAATCTTATACCACGTCCCTGACACTCCAGAAAACAGGTTTTTTTCTAAACCGAAAACCCCCAAACTTGTACCCTTTCTTACAGTCTGCAATTTTAAGTCATAAGAAAAACATTTTTGTGGTTATCAGTTAGGGAAACTAGGACCTTACAGAAGCACAATGCTGTGCCATCTTGTACCTGCACTGAATTTCAGGGCAAACAGGCTCAATGCATGCAAAACTGCAATGCATGCAATGCACATGTGTCAGCATAGCATAAGACTGATCTCTAGCCAGCCAGTGTTACAAGGATGTGAGCCAAATACTCAGTTTCAATCAATCAATCAATCAATCAATCAATTTATTTCTACAGTCCTTAGACCAGTCATACAAAAAGAAGTACACCTTTACAATATTCCAAGATTTTAAGATACATCAGTGACACATTAAAAGCAAATTAAAATTTAATCTAATATCAAACAGCTATATCTAACTAGCTACTTTAGAGTTTCCGCAATCTGAGTATCACCATACAGAAACTGGCTACGTGGTGGGTAATTTGGGGGTTTCTATCAGATAGAAGAAACTCGAGTCTAGCTTTTTCGGAAAGACCCAGAATTTGTTCAGTCAGCGGAGTGATTTTATTACGCGCCACCTTATAATACGGACATCTAAAAAACATGTGCTTTGTAGTCTCAACCTTCCTTAATGGGCAGGTACAAAGCCTTTCTGAGAAAGGAGTATTCTTGTATTTTCCTTCAAGTACAGCAGAAGGGAGGGCAGAGCACCTCGCCAGAGTAAAGGCTCTTCTAAAAATGCTCAGTTTAAACATCACCATCACAATGCAGTCAGGCTGAGTTCTAACGATAAGGAGGAAAAGTCCTCTCCATCCACTCTCTCCAGGCCATGAAGAACTTTCTGAACCTCTACCAGTTTGGTGTAGTAGTTAGGCACGCGGACTCTAATCTGGGAGAACCGGGTTTGATTCCCCAGTCCTCCACATGCAGCTGCTGGTGTGACCTTGGGTCAGTTACAAGTTCTTTCAGAGCTGTTCCTTCAAGAGCAGTTTCTGTCAGAGCTCTCTCAGCCCCACCTACCACACAGGGTGTCTGTTGTGGGGACAGGAAGGGAAAGGAGATTGTAAGCCACTCTGAGACTCCTTTGGGTAGTGAAGGGCGGGGGATAAATACAACCACCACCACCTCCTCCTCCTCCTCTCAAGCCCTACCTCTCAACTGTCTTTTGCTAATGCTTCAGACTCCACTCCTTCCCTGTGTCTTATTTACCAATTTGGGAAAGCATCTTGTACTCGGCCCACTTGGCCATTAAAGAGTAGTTTAAAAAAGCAGATCGGACACAAAAATGTAAAAATGTAACACATGTCGGTGACACTGAAGTTGACATGATTTATCTTTTTAAAAAATAAACAAACAAACAAGACACCCAAAAAGGGAGAGCATCTCAAAATTATGATTCATTTATACAACACTGGCTTCATATGCTTGTCATTACACAGTACCCAGTAATTTAATTGAAAGAGAAATAGATATAGATGTATGCATAGCTTGGAAGGAAATATTGATAAATGTGGAGGTGTTCTGGCAAGATTTATCTGTAAAAAAAATATATTGATGTGGAAATCCATTTCATTATGCAGAAGTGGCTGCGGAGAGGAGAGAGAGAGAGAGGGAGAGAAATTAGAGACTGAGACAGAGGTGAAAAAGGGACTTACTTCAGTTTGGGTTCCCGTCCTTCACTTGTGTACTGCCAGCAGATAAGCCCAATCAAGTCATGCACCTTGGCATTGGCGATAGTCACCACAGTCATGGGCTGCAGCTTGTCCTGGTTGGCGTGCAGCGGGAGGTAGACATCAATTTTTTTGGTGGCGGTTGTTCCAACATGGCCCTGTTGGTAGGAGAGAATTCAAGTTGTGTTTGAGCGACTGCCAAAACCAAATAAGCTATATTCCAACCCAGCACGGGACACTCGGACGTAGCACTGTAGCCGGGGCTGTTTGGCAAAGAATTGTGATGCTCTAGTGCAAAGAACAAAGTAGTTCCAAATTCAACAACAAGATAGTCTGTGTGACTTGTATGAATTATGTACATTTTCAACAATACCTCTCATTTTGCATAATTTATTCTACTTACGATAGTTTGGAGGAGAAGGGGATAAGCAAGGCAACAAAGAACCACTGATTGCCTTATTCAATAGCTCCTCTGGCTATGTATTCACTAGACTCTGCCCATCTGCTTCCAAACATCAACTTCATAATCACAGGGGCTAGAAACTTGGTTTAAAGGAGAAAAATAGATGCTACAATTCTCAGGAAACGGAATCCTGTATCCAGTACTGCAGCTTCCATGAAGTTGCAGTGGTTCCCCACTGAAAGGTTCTCCATTCTTGGCTTGCCTTAAGCTCCAGCCTGCACGGAAAAGGGGCAGGTCCCTACGCTGTGCCTGTTTTTATCCTCACTGGAGTTAAAAACAGCCTTCGCAATGGTGTGGCGTGGAGTTAACCCCTTTTTCTGTACTGTGGCTCTGTCTGATCCACACACACCTTGCTTTTTGCAGCTAAGTTACACATCAGAGGGTACGATTAAGATCCACAGCATCACATCTAGTTCAACAGAAGCATTCTGGGAAATGGACAGATGGACAAAGTTAAAGTTCCCTGAGTTAAGACCTGGAGATGATGTGGCAACCTTTTTTGCTTTATTTGAAGCCTCAGCACAGAATTACCACTTGCCAGACACTGAATGCACAGATGCGAATCCATCCTATCCAATGGGAGCTGCCACCAATCTTGGCTCCACTAGGAGCACATCCATACGGCAGTCATTTAGAAACATGTTTGTTGCATTGACAATTTCATGGTCATCCCACCCCAAATCAGTTGTACACTGTATCTAGTGTGTAAACTGCCTCTAAAAAATACATGGGCAAAAATATACACCAATGCACAGGAAACACTGGGAATGCAAATCAGACATCCATGATAAACCATGATTTGTACAACAAACTACGGTTAAAGTTTACCAGGTACAGGAAACACATAATGGTTTGTACACGATAAAACCCTGATTTGTCTGTTCAGAAATGGTTATTCGGAAGTCATAACTATTGGAGATCAAGCCATGGTTTATGGTGATGTCTGAACAGAATGTAACCCCTCCACCACCACCACACTTTTCTAAATGGGACCATTTGAGACTACTGGGCGGTGATGGCCCAACTCTTGCTGAAATTCATTCTTTTCTTGTGACAGAGGCTGAAATGCTCCTTGGAAAATCAAGCCACCATGTTGGATACATCCACCACACTACATACACTCAGATAACGCACTATGCACTAATCATTCCTCCCCCCCCCTCAATGTCTGGGCAGCAATGTCATCTTGATAACACACAGGGATTCCCCTAATGCAGCCCATTCTAAGATTCAAGGGAATCCCAGGTCCTACAGCACTAACCAGAATCCCTAATCCCTCACCAACCAGTAACAGGGCAGGGTAGGACACCAGGAAGCCTAATTCAGGGCTAATTTAAATAGGTTACTAGAGGGTGAGAAGATCTTAGCGGTGCTATTTTGCACTAACTCAGCACCACTTTTAAAATAGAGCTGCCATGCATGCAATCCTACTACATGTACAATCTTAGCACGCCAACGCAATGACCATCTGAGCTATGGATTTATGGTGTGCTAACAATGCATGCCTAGAGAGTGAGGGCCTATGTGAAAGACAATGCTGTGTGTATATAACCGCTCCACTGCTAAATTCTTCTCGACTGCCAGCATCAGGTAGCACTGGGTGTAAACTGAGCTATCCCACAAGCCGTCTTATTATTTAGGGATCAAGAAAATGTGCACTTCTTTTTGATTGTAGGAATTAAGTGTAGCTCTAATTTTAATCCTGAAGAAAACTGTGCCCTGGGCATCAAAAGTTTCGGAAACACCACTATTGGGAGACAACCTATATGGATTAACTGGATACTACTGGGTTGTATTGCAATCTCTTGAAGCAAAAAAAAAGAAAGAAAGAAAAAGAAAAAAAGTATCGATTCAGCACCAGGGAGATTAAGGCTTAATTAAAAAGTGAGAAACATAGCTGGCATAAAGATGCACAAAGTTTGTGTTGGGAGAGAAATGTTTAATCTAAAATGGATAAAGGTACTATTTTAAGCTACTCGTATTTTTAAACCACAGAGAGGTTTTAATGTTCCCAGCTTCCCCGCCACTGAAGCCACAGACTTTCCGGATTTACTTCGCCCCTGGCAGTTTCAACATGGTACGTCAATGCACAATGGCATTAATCTGGACCAAGCAGTCAGAGTCTGTGGGTCTGTAGCTTAAATAAACATATCATTTATTACATTGTTATCCTCCCCTCCCCTCCGGGAAGCTCAGGTAAGTAGACACGGTTCTCCCACCCTCCATTTTAAACCCACAACAAGCATCCTGTACTGTAGGTTAAGGTGGATGAAAGTGGCAGGCCTAAGATCACCAAGTGAACGTCAATACTGAGCAAGGATATGAACCCAAAGGTCTCCAGCCTGGCACTCTAAGCACTATACAGCAATCTTGATTGTTATTATTTCTACAGCATGACCCACACTCGTGGTGTTTTAGAGAATTTCACAGCCAGAAGAGACAAGCCCCTAGCCTCAAGGAGCTTACAATCTAAATTCTGACAGAGGGGAAGACAAGCAGGGAAACATGGGTAGGAACTAAAAGCAAGGGATGAAGTTGAATAAATAATAGCACTCACGTCTCCACCTTCCCCACAAAGGAGATGCATGAATTAACACTATATCAACAGTGAATCTCTCCCCCCACCACTGTTTCTGCCCCACCAAGGCCCAAGGACCCATTCCTTGCTCTCGCCGGGATGCCAAGGGAATACTGTAACCAGGAACAACAGATTTATGGTTCTTATTTATACCATCCGAATGCTGGGAAGGCTCAAGTGGAAATTGGGGCTTCACTGTTTTATCATCATTAATCTTTTCTATGGAAATACAACCAGAACAGGAATGGGGCCTGCTGAATTGCTGATGTGCATAAAGCGAAAGATCAGCAAAACTGAGCATTAAATGTTTAGCTTCTTACAATCTTCTGGTCATAAATGAAACAAAAGGGAGGGTTAAACAACAAGCCTCAGTCACTGTCAGGTCCAGAGAAGGGCTGAGCTGAGCTAAAACAGGACTTCGTGTTGGAAGGTGTTTGCATTCATCCCGGATGATGCACGTCATATCCAATCCTGATGCATCCCTGAGGGCAGGAGCTACAAAAGCAGGACCCAGAAGTACAACAGGCACAAGATTCTGCGGTGCTGACCAAGCCGTACGCAACCAGTTCAGAGGCTTCACAGTGTCTATCACCCACAGTGCCTAGTCTGCGGACAGTTCTGGGTTGTGAACACACTGTGCTAGAAGCCAAGCTAGACATTATGAAGGATATATGGCTGCTAGCCCTGGTTCCCCTCCCTGTGTCTGGCTCGACACAGCAAAAGAAAAGATATGAGGTGCCCTGGCGCTGCTTTCCTGCCCGCATTGTGTGTTTTCGTTACCAGATATTAGCAGGCAGATGTAGGGCTGCTGCTCTCACTAGCAGCCCTGCATGTAATGTCTACTTTTACCCTTGGTCTCAGCCTTGGAACGTGAAGATCCTGGCTCAAGCCCCGGGTTTCTCAAGAACTACCAGTATGCTGCCAATATTAAAAACCCCTGGCTCAAGCCCCGGGTTCCTCAAGAACTACCAGTATGCTGCCAATATTAAAAAAAAGAGGCAAACTTTATAAATATATTTAGTATAAAATGAGATGTGAAAGTCATTCAGGATTTTTTTGGGGTGGTGGGAGAAGAGCAGCCACCAGTCGGTGTTTCCTTCACCAATTAATCTGGTAGGCATAAAAGGGGCTATTAAAATAACACGTTCTTGATCTGTTACCTGTGGCACAGCTAATTTGTCCAAAAAAATTATTTTGGCTTGTCACCGGACGCTAAGTATTGGTCACATAGGTTGGGAAATAGAAACAGACAGACGGACAAATGAAGACTGAGATGAAATTGACAAAAAAAAAAAATCAGTCATTTTCCATGAATCACATATCCTGGTTCCATTTAAGTTTTTACTGTAGGAATTATTGGGTACCAGGGCCCCCCAATTCCTTTATTTCAAAGGAGCTTTGCAATAATTCATCCAGTGACATTCTTAACATACCTCTGTAAGCCAATTGTGGGGCAGGGGGGTCTTTTTCCTCTGCAGCAAAAAAAATGGAGCCCTTTTAAACTCTTAACTGTTCCTCCCAATGAAATCAATAAGCCTGTACATAACTTGCTCCTACCAATGGGACTCTGAAGTTTCAAAGTGCTTTGTTTTAGCTTTGCTATGCCCATCATTCTAATAGGCAAGTGGGTACCTTGAGCCTATCATGAAAACAGCAAAACCGGGTCACACAGAGAAAAGGCAGGCATGCTTACCTTATTTATTTAATTTACTTCAGTTATAGCCTGCCTTTCCCCACAATGGGGACCCAAAGTGGCCTACATTGTTCTCCTCTCTTTTATTTATTTTATCTTCACAACAACCCTGTGAGGCAGGTTAGGCAGAGAGTGTGATTGGCACAGGGTTCCACGTTCACTCAGCAAGCTTCCACGGCAGGGGGACTTGAACCTGGATCTCCTAGACACTAGTCCAACACTCGAACCACTACACTCTAACACTACTAATCTGGGGACTCTCCTGATCTTGCACACAAAATACGAAAGTTAACCAAAAGAGAGTGGCCTGATGAGGATTTTAAAAGGCGTGGAACCTTGAGACCAGTTGAGAGTCATTTAATGGGACGGGAAGAGAGGCAGAGAGGGAAATTGGTCTGCTCAGCATCTGCGAGCGTAAAGAATT